TTCCAGGTGAGTTTTAGCATCATTTTTCTAGATCTATGAAGAATGGCATTGGTATTTTGATTGGGACCACATTGAATCTGTAAATTGCCTTTGGTAGTATGGACATTTTGATGATATTGAGTCTTCCTATCCATGAGCATGGAACATTTTCCATTTTTAATGTCTTCTTCTGTTTCTTTCTTTAGTGTTTTATATTTTTCATCATAGAGATCTTTGACATCCTTGGTTAAATTTCTCCAAGGTATTTAATTCTTTTTGAAGCTATTATGAATGAGACTGATCTTTAAGTTCTTTCCCTGTCATGACCTTGTCTGTATATACAAAAGCCATTTTTTTTGTTAGTTTTATATCCTGCCACTTTCCCAAACACTTTTATGAGTTCCGGTAGTCTCTTAGTGGAGTCCTTTTGCATCCCCTATATATAGGATCAAGTCATCTGCATATAGAGAAATTTTGAATTCCTCCTTTCCAAATTGTATTCCTTTGATTCCTTTTTCTTGCCTAATGGCTCTGGCTAAAACTTCCAGGACTGTGGTGAATAGCAGTGTTGAAAGTGGGCATCCTTGTCTGGTTCTGGATCTTAATGGCAATGCTTACAACTATTCCCCTATTTAATACGGTACTGGCTGTGGGTTTATCATAAATTGCCTTGATTGTGTTGAGGAAGGTTGTTTCTATACAGAATTTGCTTGAGGTTTTCATCATGAAAGGATGTTGCATTTTATCAAATGCTTTCTCTGCATCTGTTGAGATAACTAATAGTTTTTGTTCTTAATTTGTTAATGTGATTTATCACATGTATTGATTTGCAAATGTTCACCCATCCCTGCATACAAGCCTTTGTGATTCCTTTGTGATTAATGAAGGCTTTGTGATTCTTTTTTCACTTTGGGAAGCTAATGGGCTGTTTTATGGTTAATGATACTTAGATACTGGAAATAAGTAAAGGGAAACATAATTGAGAGATAATCTAAAACCTTTGATGACATTGCAGAAGGGAGGATTTGTGTATTCTCACAGAGAAGAAATGAATGCAGACTGTTGGAAGCTAGTGAAGATAGGAAATTTGAATACAGACTTCAAATTGCAGATGCCAGATACCTAGGATTAAGTGATGAGCAAGTTTCATTGAAGGTGGACTGAATAAAAAAGAATTAAAGAGGATACATGTATTCTGGCTTGATGAACTGAGAGAAGTGGACACCTTGCATTGTTGGGGTGTTAGTGACCTGGAGGTTACTAAAGGGGTGGTGGTGTGGTGTGGAATTATCTTTTAAGGTTTCTCAAGCATTTTTCAGGTCAATGTACAAAAAGACACAGCCTCATAAAAGCCAACATTTATTCACGTATGTACCATGCAGAGTTGTATTAATTACATGCATTGACTTCTCTCTTCCATGATTTGCATTATAAAACACTGGATTGTGTCACAGGTCCCTCTAAATATAAATTATAATAAACCTATTTTGACTACTCTGCTATCAGCATCTTCCCCTTCTCTGTAAAATGTCTCTCTCTCTTCAGCTCATCAAGCCAGAGTCCAGGTATCATCATCAGTTCTCTTTCTTTCCCTTTCACTTCCAGTACCTCAACAGTTCTGTCAGTTATACTTAAAAATGTGTCCAGCATGATCACCGTAGACTGGGTCACCACCATACCTCTCTGGTACCACCACAGGAGTTTCTGAGCTCTGTCTCTCTCTCATACATTCCACATTCAGCAAGCTCCAGGGACATCTGTAAGGAGCAGTCGTATAGTCTCCAATTCAAACCATGTCATGACACTCCATGGCAGTTGACATGATACCAAATTCACTGTGGTGGCCTGCAAGTTCCTGTCGACCTGTCCACACTAATCTCACCAGCTCCAACTGCACTAGCCACTTTCTGTCCCTGTCCTTGAAGAGGCTCTGCTTAGTTTTGTCTGCTTCTGAGGTCTGCTGCCTCCTGGATACTCAAGGTCTGGGCTAACGGCAGGTCCTTATAGAGGCTGTGCTTAGTCCCCAACATAAAATATCTCTGCCTATGTCCCCCAATTGCATCATAACTTTTCAAGATGTCTCCTAGTTTTCATATAAGGTGTTTCTATTCAGTGTTATGTAACCAAAATCTATAAAATTCTTAGACTTAAAACAACACATGCTTCTTTCTGATCACTCTACGTGTCCATCTTGGGGCACAGGCTGACGGAGCTCCTGTTAACTGGAATATCTCTGATTGCCATGGCAGGGAGAAGGGAAGGAGGAGAATTGTGCAATGGCATGCTACCAGGCTTCTACCAGAAGTGACCTATGTGTACTAGCTAAAGCAAGTCACACGGCTATGCCAGTGACCCTTAATCATGTGCCTGGTACAACTGGAATGCTGTGTACAGCACTATTGGCCATCCTGTTTCTTCCAGAATACAGGAAGAAAGGGGTTCAGCTTCACTGGCATATGCTCATTGTGTGTCTCACTCATCTCACCTCTAAAATGAGGATGAGGATATTAATAATGGTGATGATAATATTTAAAGTGCACAGATAAATTCAACATACTACATACAAAACTATTACTGAACAGATTTAGGGGGAGCTTGATATTGAATAGCGTAGTGCTTGGGTTTTAATCAGTGGATCTTTAGTGGGTAACTTGCTATTGTATACAAGCAAAAGTAAGGGAACATATTTTTACATGCACAAATAAAATATTATAGCATGATGCCTTGCTGCTGCTTTTCAAAAAAATCTTGAAATTTCAAAAATCTTGAAATTTTATTCCAAGCGTAGTGTCAAAAACATGGTTTTCCTATCATTTGTTTGTAAACTTAACACTTGTTCCCACAGGGTCCTTGCAGACATGATAGCAGCTGTTGATAATGAAAAACAAATATGTGGAAACAGTTCCTATAACTTTGGAGAAATTGTGTATGCTTAGCCCCATGACTTTTGATTTAAAATATTCTTAAGCACAGAGGACTCCTTACAAAGTGAAAACTCCTGCATCTCTTTCCTCTTTGGTATTCAGTGTTCGTCTGTGCAATGTGGAGCTTGGATAATTGGAGTTAGTCTAATGTTTTAATCTTTTGGGTGGAAGGAGTGAATAAATACACAATATGTCTTACAAAACATAAAGGTATCTTTGCAAATAGAAACAGTGTGTTTAAAATAATTCATGGCTTTCTATTATTGAAATGTGCACTGGGCCTTGAGCAGTGTGACACAGCTCCCTCAATTTTTAGTGGTGTCTACAAACTATAAAATGCCAAACTATCCCCTCAGTGTGAGACTTTACCCAACTGTTATTTAAATTGCAGCTCTATGTTTCCTTCTCTTCTTTGTTTTTCTCCTTAACATTTGTCACCATCTGATATACTGATATTCTGCAAAATTTGCTTGCACGGTTTTTCTTCTCCCAGGAGAATTCGAGCTGCAAGCAGGCAGAGCCTTTTGTGTGTTTTAACACATGGTACAATTAAATGTGTTTAGTTAATTAGCGAAATCACTTAACAACTGTTTACTCAAGGCATACCACTGAGTTTGATGTTACAATGTGTGGGTAAGAGGTATAAGGTATCTTCATAGTCTTAGAATAGCAAGAGAAACATCACATTGCTATGAGAAAATGAGTGTCAACTCTGATGCTACTGATGCGAACTGATGTCATAGATGTTTAGTACATAAGAAGATTATTGTTGTTCTGATAAACCAAGCGTGAACCCTTTGTTTAGATATGGTGTGATCCATTTTGCAAATTTTACTACATGCTGTTTGATAATAGAGATGGATTCCTTTTCTGCCTAATTTTGAGCTAAACAGGTTTTTAAGAAAGATTTCTTTATTTAATTGGATGGTAGAGTAACAGAAAGGGAAGGGGAGAGAACGAAAGAGATCTTCCATCTACTGATTGACTCACTAAATGGCTTCAATTGCCAGGGCTTGGCCAGATGGAAGCCAAGAGCCAGAACTCCTGGGTCTCATAGGTGGGTGAAAGAGGCAGAAGCATTTGTCCATCTTCTGCCTTCCCAGGTGTGTTAGCAGGGAGCTGAATTAGAAGCGGAGCAGTGAGGCCATGAATCAGTGCTCTAATGTGGGATGCCAGCATCACAAGTGGTGGCTTACCCCTACTGTAACAACACCACCAACCCCTGAGTTAAAGTTGCAACAGAAACATTCTGCAGGAAGTATTCAAACCTAGGGTTGGGGGTTCAGAAGCTACTCAAAGTCTTCAGCATGTCTTATACCAGTGCAGCCTTGAGCTACATGGAAGGGCTCATCATTTGGACAGATCTGTGACATTTCATCCTGAGTGCATGACAGATGGGACTGGAGTTGCCCCCTGCTTCCCACTGTCCTCACGTTGTAGATGACTCTTCCTAGTATCTTGTAGTTACTAAGGTCAGGACCCCCGTCCATCTGCACAGTAAGAAGGGATAGGCAGTTGATAATTTCCCTGCCAAAGAAAGAAAGCCTTAGAGGAAACCAAGCCAAGGGCAAATGGGTTGCTGGATTTTTAATATCTGAGAGTGAGCCACTGAGAATATTCAAAGATTTTTAGCATTTGAGGTTAGTATTTGGTCAGCCAGTAGTACTCGACATTTTCATATGGTGGTGATGGTGGCAGTAATGATGAGGGCTGAGGAGAGACACCCAAGATGCACCCAGAATGCGTTAACTGTCACTTGATTCCCTCAGTGATCCTGAGGTCTATTCTCAGTGTCCTCATTTTATGCATTCACAGGGAACTATCATAGCTTTGCTAAGATGACAAAATGAATAAATGGCATAATCAGGATTTGAATGCATGCAGCCTTCTGGTCTAAATTTTGTTCCGTTTCTGTTATGTATTCTGAGAAGAAAAGGAGAAGCTCTGTGACATGCTTTTGATGTGGTAGAATGCTTACTAGGTGTGAGACATGGAAGCATCCTAGAAATATTTGTAAGCCTATCATAGTCAACAAATATGGTAGGTATCAGTAACAGGCAGTTTGATATATGTACCTTTTTTTTTTTAACATCACAGCCTTCTGTCTTCGATAACATATTCTCCTAAATTGGAGCGTAAGACTTCAGAGTGTGTAATACCAATGGACAGTGACAACGAGAAGGGAGAACGAAATAGCAAACGAGTTTGTTTCAACGTAGCAGGAGATGAGCAAGAAGATTCCGGTCATGACACCATCAGCAACAGAGACTCCTACAGGTAACTCACTGATTCCCCCAACTCATGTCATCAGCAAACTCAGATAGGATTCTGTATTTCCACAAAGTTCTTGAAAATGATTTTTTGGTTAATGGTTTTGTTTATTGCTCTCTCAATCACTTGCTCTTACCCACCTCAGATAAAACAAAGTGGAACAGCTTAATCTTTCAAAATCTTCACTTTGATAATTTCAGTAACTTGAAACAAAACATTTTTCTCTAGGTGTGTGAATCTAATTTCAGCAACTTGTTCTATAAATGGATTGTAAAGTATGTATAACAGATAAGAAGGTTGTTACTATGAGCATTTTTTCATATGTCTGTCTCTGATCATTGGTTTATTAGATCAAGAGTAGGAGTTCTTTTTGCCCTGTTTTCCTCCTTTGTTTTTATAGTCTGTATTCCAAGTGAATTGGACTAATTTCTCTTGCCCACCCCTCTGATCAGCTCTGTTTTTTATCTTCTCTTGGATGCTTTCTGTATTCATTTTCTATTGCTTCTATAACAAAGTGCCAAGTCTAGGTGCCTTCACCGCAGAAATTGGTTATCGCACAGCTCCCAAGGTCAGAAATTTTAACAACCAAGGTGTTGGCTGTGTGGATTCCTCCCTGGGGCTATGAAGGAAGAAGGATCTGTCTCAGGTCTTCTCTCTTGACCTCTGAAATGGTGATCTTCTAACTGCGTCTCTTCACACCATTCTCCATCCACATGAGTCTCCGTGTCTATATTGCCCTTCTGCTTTTTTTCTTTTTTTTAAGATTTATTTCTTTGAAAGGTAGGGCGACAGGAGTGGGAGAGTGGGGAAGAAAGAGAGATCCAGATCTTCCATCTGCTGGTTCACTCCCCCAAATAATTGCAACTGAAGCCAGGTGCTAAGAACTCTATCTGGGTCTCCCACATGGGCAGCAAGAACCCCAGCACCTGCCGCCTCCCAGGCACATTAGTGGGAAGCTGGATTGGAAGCATAGAGAGGCTGGAACTTGAACTAGGCACTCCAGTGCAGGACAGAGGCATCCCAAGCAGTGGTTTAACCTGCTGCACAACAAGTGCCCATATGCTTCCCTTCTTTGAGGGACATCAGGCATAGTGCGCTAGGACCCACGCTGATGATCTCATTTTAATTCAATTACCTCTGTCCAGAACCTGTTTCCAAATAAGGCCGCATCTGGTGCACTGGAGGTTAAACATCAGTATACATTTTTTTTTGTGTGGTAGGAAGGTATAATTCCTTCCTTCCAAATTCTGTTAACATTTTTGTACCAAACCCTAAAATGATGTGAAGTTCTTTAATTGAAAGTGCTTTTGCTCCTTTAAATAATGGATCACGGGGCCGGCGCCATGGCTCACTTGGTTAATCCTCCGCCTGCAGTGCTGGTGTCCCATATGGGCGCTGGTTCTAGTCCCGGTTGCCCCCTTTCCAGTCCAGCTCTCTGCTGTGGCCCGGGAAGGCAGTGGAGGATGGCCCAAGTGCTTGGGCCCTGCACCCGCATGGGAGACCAGGAGAAGCACCTGGCTCCTGGCTTCAGATCAGCGCAGCGCCAGACGTAGCGGCCATTTGGGGGGTGAACCAGCAGAAGGAAGACCTTTCTCTTTCTCTCTTTCTCTCTCTCTCACTGTCTGTGACTCTACCTGTCAAAATAAATAAATAAATAAATGGATCACCTGAAACTTCAGTGAGGAACATCATAACCAGCCACAGTTTTGGCATCTCCCATTACGTTCACAGGTGTTGAAGGCAAGAACTATTGTAGTTAATATTGTTTATTATACAGTGTTTTACAATGAAATGATATTGTACTGTGTTTAAATTATTCTCACCAGAGATGTTTAATACAAATAACTAACATTAAAAATATGTGAGGGGGGCTGGCTTTGTGGTATTGCCCCTTAAGCCATTACCAGCAACACTGGCATCCCATATGAGCACCAGTTCACGTTCTGGCTGCTCCACTTTTGATCCAGCTTCCTGATAATGTACTAAGGAAAGCAGAGGAACATGACCCAAGTCCTTGGACCCCGACCCATGTGGAAGACAGAAGCAGCTCCTGGCTCCTGACTTCTGTCTGGCCCAGCCCTGGCTATTGCAGCCATCTGGGGAGTGAACCAGTGGATGGAAGGTCTCTCCCTCTCCCTCTTTCCCTCTCTTTAACTCTGCCTTTTAAATAAATAAAATAAATTTTCAAATATATATATATTTCAAATATATATACATATACATACATATATGTATATGGTATGTGTGTGCAAGTTTCACCTAGTAGTTCAGCTACTGGTTAAGATGCCTGTGTCCCACATTGAGTTTGGTACTTGGTTCCAGCTCCTGAATCCAGCTCCCAGCCAATGCAGATCCTGGGAGGCAGTGGTGGTGGCTGAATCGACTGCATACCTGCCACCCACATGGGAGACTGGGGTCCAGTTCATGACTCTCAGCTTCAGTTGCAGACATTTGGGGAATGAACCAGCAGGTGTAGGCTCTTTCTCTGTCTCTGTTTTGCCTGTCTCTCTGCCTCTCAAATCTAGACACATGGAAGAACAGGATGATTTCACCTAGTTCCCATAGTACCTCCATGGCAGTGTCTGATAGTAACTCTATTTTCCACATAAGGAAGCTGAAACCCACAGAAGTTACATGATCTATCCAAGCAAGTAGGTGATCTGGCTTCACAGTTCCACACTTAACTATTCTACTATCCTAATTTCTGTGGTTTTGAAAAAAAATTGACAAATGCACGAGATAATTATTCCTATAGATTTAACAATGTATTATGCAGATTAACTATCTTTACCATTTCATTTTCTTTTAACTTCTAAGGAGACCAACGTGTTCTTTAATAGGAATCTGTGGGTTTTTCTCCACTGGGAAATTACTTGTCTAAAAATACTTTCTTACCTAAGTTCTAGTTATCAGATAATTAAAATTTCCCTCAAAGACTCTTTCAGCTAAGATAGAAGTTTAAAATGTAAATTTAAAGTGAAGTAAGTCCTTCCTACTTACTATGAGGAGGAAGAATATTTTATCTCTTGCACTGTTTCTGAAATCTGTATTACATCCGTATTCACACACAAACCCTTTAAACATTCTTTCCTTGAACATTCATAATTCCCAGCACTTACTTGTGCTGAGCTCTGAGGTGGAGACAGACAAGAGACTTTTCTTGGGAAGTTCAGCATATACTCAGTAAGCCACCAGAAAGGGTTGAAAAAAGAGAGAACTCTTGAAACATGAGTTGGTAGCTATGAGCAAATTATCTAACTACAGATGTGTACCCTCAAAGACATTACATTAAGAGTACTTTGAAATTTGGTTTGACTCCTATTTTTTTAACTAAAAACATAAAAAATTCATTTAGGGTTAGATTATATGACAGAAAGAAATTTGAAATATGATTAAATTGAAAATATTTTCTTTAAAAGGATAAATTCAGTTGAACAAGTTTGTCTTTCTCATAAGGAATCATAAGGAATCACAGGGAAACTCAGACATCTGCACTCTTAAATAACATATAGCACATTCTTTTCAGCGACTGCAACAGCAACAGGAACTCCATCGCCTCCTTTACCAGCATTTGTAGCAGCCAGTGCAGTTCATATTTTCACAGCGATGAGATGGACTCAGGTGCGTTTGATGAAGGCATGAGTTCTTTTTGATGTTAATCCTATTGGAGATAACTTTAAGGATTGGTTTCCTTGATCCATATACACTTTTACCTTTTTAAGTCATACTCGGTGGCTACACATAATTTATTTCTGTTTTGTGTGCTTAATAAAATTGATTCCCCAATCCTATTGTAAAGAGTGAATTTAAAAAAGCAAACTGCTTTTCATCTTGATATATGATTTACGAAGGGTTATAGGTACAGAGGAAACGAGGATTACTAAAAGCATTGGGTATTGTTGATTAGAGTGGAGAGGTGAGGAGCTTGAAACTGATAAATTTATAATACAGCAGGTGCACCTGAACAAGGTTGCTTCAAAAATTTCATGGAAAAATAAGCTAAAAGATAAATTTGTTTTGATGCCAAAGAACTTTGAAATATGTACCTAATATTTTATAATATGCATTTTCCATGGACTTTTTGAAGCCCCAATGTATGTGGAAAACAGCTAGGTACAATTAGAGGGTTTATAAATACCTTGATTTTTGTGTGTTAAGAACAAAGCGTTTTCTTGCAATTAGGAGAAATATTAACATGTGTATTTTCATCAGTGCACTCCAAAAGCATTAGACAAACACACCATTGGAAAGAATCATTCTCATGGAATACCACAGTGTGCCTTGTCTTTCACTTGTGTCCTCCGGAATCAACCTGATTTCCTAGGAGCTCTTAACTCTTTGGAATTCTTTTCCTGAACATGAGAACTAATGTATGGAATAAGAACTCTTTATTTTTATTTAACATTAGAATATGCTGGGATATTTTAATGGATGATGAATTATTTTTGTTGTTGATGGGTTTCTTTTTTTCTTCTACATCTAGGTGATGAACTTCCCCTCAGTGTTCGCATTTCTCATGATAAACAGGACAAGATTCACAGTTGTCTTGAGCATCTTTTTAGCCAGGTATGATCGGGGCAAATGTGGCTCTTTTTTCCTCAGATTAAACTGTCAGGAATACCTTTGTAGGCATAGTAAGAAGAGCTTAGAGTTAGAATAAGGCCTAAATCTGTCCCTCTTCCTCTTTGAATTTAAAAGATGAATAAATATTCTTGTGCCAACTACCCAAAAATTGTTGTACAAATCAAGTATTTTATAATCTGTAGAAAATAAGAAAAATTTATATACCTAAGACATAACTCTTGCTATCTGTGGGAGTTTTGTGGCTTTTCAGAATAGTTTATGATATTTCTTACTCAGCACTAATCCTAAATTCAAAAGGTACAAGATTGTCTTGGTGCTCATGTTGGTGGTTTGCATAAAAAAAAAAACAAACAACAACAACAACAAAAAAAAAAACAACAAAAAAAAAACAACCCTAGGCAAATTGTGTACTTTGGCAGCTTTTAAGACTTGGACAAGGATTTCAGTAGCTCTTAGGATTTTTAAATAATTTTCCTGAATTTTACTTTCTTCTGTGACATGAATTCATATTTTGCATGAATACGTGTGAAAAGAAGAAATGTCACTGCAGTGTTGTGAGGTGGGCAGGCAAGTTTGTCACACTATTTTATTTAAACAGATTTCACAAGCATAATGGAATTTCAAAAGTAATCGTTTCTTTAAGAAAAAATATTTTACAAGATTTGCTCTTGGGTGTATATTAGGTACAATTAGAGATGAGTAACTCTTAGAAAACTCTGCTCTTGGTAGGTGGATTCGATCACTAATCTTCTAAAAGGGCAAGCTGTTGTGAGGGCTTTTGAACAAACCAAGTATCTCACACCAGGACGAGGACTGCAAGGTAAGATTGGGAGATAAAAGGTATCAGACCATGCAGTGGTCATATGAGAAGGGAAATTTCATATATCATTGAATGCTGCATCTGTTTTGATAAGATTGGAATATGTTAAGTAATTTAGGACATTTTAGGTTTCTTTGAAAGTTTAAAATGTTTAAACCCTATAGAATCAAGACCAAATAAAAATGTGTTCATCAACAATATGTATTAAGAATTAAGTAACTTTGCTGAAACCAAGCATAGTTCCCCCTTGATTATTCTTGTATCCTATCCAGCAGTGGGGGAAGGGACTTGGGGATTGTGAATTGACATACAGAATGACCAAACAGGACAGGATATAGAGCTGCCACTTTCCAACATCCTGTTTATGATATAAAAAGTAGAGCTTTCAGCTAAATGTGCTTCTTTGTTTAAACATTTATAAGAAAATAACATCAAGATGTGGCATTTGAGATTTAGCAAAGCTTGTGATGTAGCAAAAGAAATTACTTTCATGATAATATACCAGGTTGACAGTGATAAGATTCTGAAGTCTTAACTGGGAAATGGTTGAGACTTAAGAGAAATTTTCTATATTTATTTAGAATTTCAACAGGAAATGGAACCAAAGCTGAGTTGTCCAAAAAGGTTACGGCTTCACATCAAGCAAGATCCTTGGAATCTTCCCAGCAGCGTCCAGTCACTTGCTCAGAACATCAGAAAATTTGTTGAAGGTCAGCATGAAAAGCAGATGGCATTGCTTGATTTTAGCAATAATCACTTAATTACAGCTAGTCAGTCAGTGATGCTTGATTACTTTTGCAATGTTCCATGTTGTGAAGAAAATGAAAGGATGGAAAATGGTGAGGGAGGAGGAGGGAAAGAAGTAATGATTACAAAATCTTGATAGACTATATCATAAGAATATTATCCATGAATAATCATGGTTCATGGAGGCAAATACAACATGGATTGATTTTAACTCATTATAATACCAAAGAGTATTTAGAATGTTTTAAAAGATAGCATGAAACTGTGGAAAGTCTAAAAAATAAATTGTGAATCTGTATGAGAATCAAAATAATTACATAGGTTGCTTTTAAGTGGCTTTTAAATTTCTTTTCCAGAAGTGTTTCTCTAAGTTGATTGTTATTAATTACCATGACATTACTTACATGGCATTCTGTGATTGATACAAAATGTGGGGAAAACTTCAAAGAAGTTCAGTGTGTGTTGTTTAGGGTCAGAGTTATTAAGTAGAAAATACTGAGAATTCCTAAATGATGACGGTGAAAAAAGTGAAATAAGAAATTTGTTTAATTTAAATATTATCTGATTGAACAATTTTCTTTCCAGTAATTAGTGCAGTGGTTGGCCTTGTCTAGATGATATTGGAGTTGGCTCCCTAAAATATGATACAGGAATATGGACCCCTTAGAGTTCCCCCAAAGTCCCATCTGGGGTGCCATATGAAATTGGAATTTGGGGTGCCATGTGATATCACTGTATGCTTATTAATAATCCCAATATTAATAAGCCCATGTGGGTTCTTGCCTAATATTCAGAGAAGAATTTGGAATATTGGTGTAGATAAACAAGGCAGCATGGTGTGGGGAGCAATCCGGACTAGACTAAGTTACTCGAATTAGGACTTATTCTATGCATCTGCTCTCCCACAATATGGCGCTGGGAGAGAAGTAAACAGCTTCCGCACAGCTGCCTCCAGTTCAACCAATAAACTGTAGGACCTGCTCCTGATTGGAGAGCAGCGTACTCGGCGTGTGGGCAGCCGAGTTGGGATTGGCGGAGGAGGACTATAAAGGAGGAGAGAGACGGCATGCACCTGGAACATCTATGGGGAACATCTAGCTGAAGGAACACCCGTGCAGCCCCCGAGACACCCGGCCGGCGGTGTGCCGCTCCCCTGCGGAAGTGGGGAATGCGGCCAGGGGGAACTGCCCTTCCACGGAGGTGGAAGGGATAGTAGCCAACCCGGGAAGAACCAGCAGCAAACCCGGGGAGGGCCGAGCAGACAGAAAGAACAGCGCAGGGTCCTGTGTCGTTCCTCCACGAAGAGGGGGAGCGACAGCATGGTACATTTTTAAGCTTTCATTCAGTGAGAGAAATGCATAGGGGAGTAAGGGCCCTATCTATAAGAGAGAGGTAACTCTGGGTTCATACTAAGTACCAGGAACCAGCCACGTGGAGGAGCATCTAGACCAGGAAGCATGGGGCGGGTGGCCTGAAGGCTGTGAGCCCTGGAGACGCAGGGCCACAGCCAACCCCGTACTGGCAAAAGGCTAAGGAAAAGAGAGCGAGAGAGCAGGCACACTGTGTCCCAGGCTTTTAATCCACTTGCAAGGGGGAGTGGTTAATTAACCTGATTGGCTGGTGGGTGCACAGGTGTGGCCAGGTCAGGGCATGAAGTCACATGGGGGCGTGGTGAAGGCGTGGTCTTCCAGCTCACAAACCTAATCAATTTTATTCTGTATGCCCGCCTACAACATAGAGACATTTTTAGTTGTCACAATTGTGGATGTATTCATGGCATCTGCTGGGTATACCCCAGGGCTACTCCTAAACATTGTACAAAGTATAAGAATCTCTCACAACAAAGAATTATTTGGCCCAAAATGTCAGTTGTGCTAATGTTGAGAAACATGTACGACAAATATGATGCCTGTGTTTACATTTTTATTCCTCAGCCATTTGTAGGTCAGTTAGGTGTGGCAATAATACTCAACCAAAGTATAACATTCTGTTGTTACCGTTTTTAGGCTAAGTTAGAGAGAGTAGTCTACCTTGCTAACAAAGACAGCTCTATTTATCAATGGACTCCGAACCAGTCACTTAACACTTAGGCTTCAGCTTCCTGATTTATTGAACGACAGAGATGGTTTAAATGTACGGTGATAACTAAGTCTTCACCATAGAAATATATTCAAACATAATACAGAGGAAGTTTGTATAGATAGGGATGCTTCCCCAGATCAATCACAGCAACTCTATTGTGTAATGAAATCTCCTGTTTTGATAGCTGTGTTTGTTTGCTGTATTTTTATTTTATGGCTTAATATAATGGCTGCCTGTGACACTATGTAACATAACATTTCATGTAAAATCTGAGTTTAAATTTTTTTTTTTATTTTTTTGACAGGCAGAGTGGACAGTGAGAGAGAGAGACAGAGAGAAAGGTCTTCCTTTGCCGTTGGTTCACCCTCCAATGGCCGCCGCGGCCGGCGAGCTGCAGCCGGCGCACCGCGCTGATCCGATGGCAGGAGCCAGGAGCCAGGTGCTTTTTCCTGGTCTCCCATGGGGTGCAGGGCCCAAGCACCTGGGCCATCCTCCACTGCACTCCCTGGCCACAGCAGAGAGCTGGCCTGGAAGAAGGGCAACCGGGACAGAATCCGGCGCCCCAACCGGGACTAGAACCTGGTGTGCCGGCGCCGCTAGGCGGAGGATTAGCCTAGTGAGCCGCGGCGCCAGCCAAATCTGAGTTTAAAGCCCCAAAGTAATTAATAACAAAAATGATAAAGACAGTTTTAAAAGACAGTTTTGTGAATTTAAGAATATACTTTAGTAACAGGCATATTTTTACTTAATAAATGCCAGCATCCCAACACTTCAAGAAGTTAAAATTCTGCAATTATTCTCATCATTTTTGAGTCTTTCTTTATGTAATGCACCTATTATTAGAGTAAGTGCCATATTGATTAGGATTAGAGAAATCCTTAAAACATTTTTTTTGTTTTCTTGCTTTGAAGGCCTTTAAGATATAAGCTATCAAAAACTCAATTTTTTGAAGTTATTCATTTTATGAATTTTGTATTTTCAAGTCCTACTTTTATACATTTTGTATCCCATTCCACACAGGGTCAATCACAGATGATTGATAAATGTGAATTAATTTATTACTCATTGCTTTGTGTCCAATAAGCTATGTGCCTGTTTGCTTTCAATTAATTGGGAAATAGTTTATGTGCAATTGGTAAATTTAAAAACATCCAGAGTTTCTTCTAAATGCCAAAGATTATGCAAATAAAGAAACTAAGTTGCATCCTATTATAGACAATCACAATATAGTCAGAGAGAGAGAATTAACTGATAAGTAAAGTAAGAAATACCTAAAAGGTATTACATTTTACAAGTGAGATTGCAGGAACAAATAATTTCAGAGGCAGGGAAATTTATTGAATTACGAATTAGAAAACTGATCTGTTATGTACTAGCTTTGTGGCTTTTAGAAAAGTGCTAGCCTACTTTGAATCTCAACTAGTTCATTCATAAATGATAATAACTCTACCTTATCTATTTTATAGGCCCTGTGTAGGAAAGATAAATGAGAATACATATGAATAGTCTCTGAATGTTGTTTGAAGTGTTGTATAAAGACTGTTGTTACTGTGATCTTAATCTAACTAAGCTACTATAGAATTCTAAATGTGACTAGATAATATTTCATAAAAGTTTTGAAATTTAGACTCAGAGCAGTAAGGACATAGTATAAGAGTGGGAAATGAGCGAAGTGCTGGCAAAGAAATATAATATAAACAAATATTCAACAGTCTAGAATAGATCTTGTCATGTCACAAAGGGACTGACATTGGAATACAATTAGAAAGCTTCACTGAAAAGTGACTTCTAACTCAGATAGATGAGTTTATACATCTAGCAGGAAATCACAAGGCTTAGCCATGTGGTACTGAAATTATGAACATGATATTGTAAGAAGGTGCATCTGCTAATGGTGCATATGAATCATAAAGACAGGAATATTATTCAGAAAACCACTGCCATCACTGCGGCATGATGAAAAAGGGTAGCAAAAGCTGAAGAGATGTATAATAAGATGTGGAGACAACTTCAGAGAAGAGTAGGTTGCTGAAAAATGAGAAATTTTAAAGAGTAGTTTTTGTAGGGAGCAAAGAGTTTTGAAAATGTGTTCCCTAATAGACATTTGAAGTTGAAGTGATGATGGCCCACTCAAGTAGAAGTGTCTTCATTCAGATGAGAGTCTGAGACTACAGTTTAGCTGAGAGATTCGGCAGGGGACAGGCATTATCTCGGTGACACCACATAATCAGTCTTTCCCCCACTGAAATCACTATCTCCTTTTTCTTTCTACCCTCAGTTTAGTAGGCTGTGAGTGCACAAGGATCTAATTATACAATGTTAAGTGGTGCTGTAGCAATCTTTCCTAGCTAAAGAGCGTAGAAATATCTAAGTGTGTGTGATTTATTTGCTTTAAAGGCAGAGTTATAGAGAGGGAGAGACAGGGAGAGGGATCTCCCATCTGAGTGTTCACTCCCCAAGTGACCACAATAGCCAGGATTGTGCCTGGCTAAAGCCTGAAGCTTCATCCAGGTTTTCCATGAGGATGGCAGGGGCCCAAGCACTTGGACCATCTTTGGTGACTTTCCCAAGCACATTAGCAGGGAGCTGGATCGGAAATGGAGCAGCCAGAACACCAACTGGCACGCATATGAGATGCTGGCATTACAGGCATTGGCTTAACCCACTGTGCCACAAATGCCAATCCAAGAATTACATTTTTGATGTTCTAATTGATACATATTTGATGGGATATTTTAAAGAGACTAGTAATTTTCAGAAACAAGGTCATGTCGACTTCATAGATAAAACAAGAAACTCTGGCCAAGTGTCATGAGGTTACATTTCTAGCCAAGATCTAACTTTCTGTTAGGTGATTCCCTACATAAAGACAATTTGGGAGATAGAATGAAAAGTACTTTAAAGTTCAGCAGGATAAACTCTGGGTGAACTGCTGAGGTTACTGCTGAGTTACTCCCAAGGACCTCCACAAGATGAGAAACTGATCTCAAGGATACAAATCAGTCTTTAAAAGCTTAATAAAAGTTTAAGTAGTGCTTCTAGAACTGCTTCTGAACAGTTTATGATACAGACTATAATACTCTGGAGTTTAGAGAGCACCGCGCAGCTGAAAACAGCTAAGGATGACTTGCAAAGCTGGCAGGATTTACCTGCTGTTTCATCTACTCATATAATCCAGAGCTGGAAGACATTTGACATTCCAGGGTGTTGGGATAGAATTTACAATGGAAAATGGACAAGAGTAGCATTTCAAGTGAATGGGATTTTTATTACCTAATACGACAGGACTTCAAAAAGTTCATGGAAAATGGAATTTAAAAATAAGTCTATTTTGATGCAAAAATTTGACATCCATAGGTTTAAGGATTTACAATTTATTATTTTTATTTTTAATATTTGAAAGGCAAAGAGACCGAGATCTTTTATTGCCTGGTTCATTCCCTAAATGCCTACAACAGCAAGGACAGGGCCAGTTTGAAACCAGGAGCCCAGGACTCCCTCTGGGTCTCCCGTGTACTTGAGCCATTACCTCTGCCTCCAGGAAGCTGGATCAGGGGCAGAATAGCCAATGCTCAAACCCAGACACTCTGACATGATATGTAGGTGTCCCAAGTATTCACTGAACTGCTGTGTCAAGTGCCTGCCCCCTTCACAGTTTTTTTTCACATCAGCACTGTCTAAGAACTCTCCGAGGATCCACCATTAGCCTGGATTCAAAAATTTTGAACCAAAATAAATTTACTTTTAAGTTTAATTTTCATTTATTATGAACTTTTTGAAGTACTCTTCTCTAATATAATTTTGCTAATTTTTGCTGCACAATTAAGCTATAATGTTTGTGGCAGAAACATAGTAAGCAACTAACTGAAGTATCTTCTCTTTCTGCAGAGGTAAAGTGTAGGATACTACTGGCTCTTCTTGAATATTCAGGTAACATGTTCGCATTATTTTTATTATTTGATGTGGTTGGGGTCTAGGACCTTAGACATCCTTTTATCTTCAACTGTTTACAAACATAAGTGAAAATATAACACCTGCCTTCTCTAAATCCTTAGAAAGATAAATAAAAACAGAAAAACTCATACTCATCTTCAGTTGCAGGTAAAAACATGAAAACACATATAATATATTTAAACAAAGTATAATTACAAAAGGAAAGGGGGTAGGTTTTGATAAAAAGAACTGTTAATAGGTTTTTTTTGTTAATAAAAAGAACTGTGTTAATAGGTTTTTTGATTTTTGTTATGAACCAGGAAGTATGCAAATATTTAACAAATCTTACTTATATAAATCACTTCTATCATGTACTTGGTAGGAGTTCAAAAAATGTTGGCAATGAACATTTACATCAAAAGATAATTAAATATTTGATCAAACCCTAAATTATATGACAGACTGTTGGTTTCATAAAGGCAGACACAGTATTTATTTTGATCATCAACAAATCCCTAAAATAATGTATGGCACATAGGGTTCAATAAGTATGTGTTACAGGAATGAATGAAAAATTGAAAGAAGGGAAAATTATGAAATATTTCAGCAAAATTCTATTCAAAATACTTTCAGAAGGATATGCATCCTAAACATTGGGAAAACTCAAATATTGTTTAATAGGAGTGCAGAGTTTAATATTACTTAGCGACCTATCTCTGTAGGCATAGAGACATATAAATATGTTGACTGACTTATCTATTTCTATTATTTTATATCATTACACTAATACGATTTTAATAGAAATTTACACATAAAATATAAGCTGAAAAATCATCTGTTAAATCAGTTAGCTTTTGCTGTATTAAAATATACCATAAAAATCTTTGTAGCTTAAAATGACTTTATCCTTGCTTGTGTATCTCATGTCTTCTGGGCTGTTCCAGGGATCTGTGCTAGGTTTTGTTGATTTCAGTTGGGTTTCCTCTTCTATTTGCATTCAGGCAATGAGTTGGCTGGGCACAAATGATCTAGTGTGATGTTGTTCACGTACATGACAATTGTCTGGCACTCCTGAGATAACAAGGCTCACTGGGCATGTGTTTCTCCCCATCTACAGGGCTATACTTATTGCACATGTGGTACATTTGCAGGGTTCCAAGAACAGAAAGAGATTGTGTAAGCTTACCACCTTCTGTTGACCAAGACATACAATGGCTTGAAAAGTTAATGAAGGGAGAGCTGTTTAGCCTAGAGGTTAAGATGCCTGCATTCCACATCAGAGTACCTGGGTTCAATTCCTGGCTGTTGCTCTTGACTCCAGCTTCCTGCAAATGCAGATCCTGAGAGACAACAGTAATGGCACAAGTAATTGGATTCCTGTCATCCATGTAGAAGACTTGGATTGAGTTCCCAGCTCTTGGCTTTAGCTCTTGGCAAGCACCAGCATTTGTGGGTATTTGAAGAGTGAGCCAGCAGATGGGAGTACTCTCTCTCCCTCTTTCTCTCTCTCTCCATCTCTCAAAAATTAATTAACAGGTTCACAGAAAATGCATATTCTGAAAAGAACTATACATAGGTTTCAAAATTTTTTCCTGTAAGATTAGTTTATCATTTAATTCCAATTTTCTACAAGGCTTTTGAAGTCCCCTCATTTAACTGACAAGCTAAGTTCCAAAGGGTAGAAACATGGACATTGCTTTGGATGAAAGGGGTCTCAAAATTCTATTGCAAGGTCATGGATAGAGAAAGGGGAAGAGTTTGTGGCCACTTTTACAATCTGCTACTCTTGGAATTTTGCTATTATAAATGGATGATTGAGCCAAGTTAAGTAACCAGGAGGGATTTTTTTGCTAGTTGGCTAGTTTTTATCTTAATTGAACAAGTTTTTGCCTTCTTTTTCAACCCACAATAATTAAAAAATGATCCTTTTTTAAAGATTTACTTATTTATTTGAAAGGCAGAGTTTACAAAGAAAGAGAGAGAGAGAGAGAGAGAGAGAGAGAGAGAGAAAGAGAAAGAGTTAGTTTCCATCCACTGGTTCAGTCCCTAAGTGGATGCAATGGCCAGAACTGGGCTGGTCAGAAGCCAGGAGCCAGGAGCCAGGAGTTTCTTCCGGGTTTCCCATGGGACTGCAGGGTCCCAAGCACTTGGGCCATCTTGCTGCTTTCCCAGGTGCATTAGCAAAGAGCTGTATCAAAAATGGAGAAGCCAGGTCTCAATCTGGCATCCGTGTAGGGTGCTGGTATCAAAGGCCCAGTAGGCCATAATGCTACCTCCTATGGTTCTCCTTGATCTTACTCTGTGTGCTCAATCTCTCTCTTCCCTATCATGTATACAATGGAATAAAATAGCCAAATTGCTCCATACTTTTGCCTGTGATACTATGTTCTTCACTTGAAAGGGCAGATTAGGTCTGCTCAATGCTCTTCTTAACCTTCTTTTATTCCTACTTTTTTCCTTCTCTTGTCTACTTTAGTCTCTTCATTTCTTTTGCTGTCTTTTCCCTGCAGTCTCTGTGTCTGAGAACCATGGCTGGGGTGACATACATGACTCTAGAGGTGATCTCGTTCTTTTTAGACTGGTTAGTTAATCATGGGACTTGAACATCAAAGAACTGAGTGAATAGAAGTGTTAATATTTTAACACATGTTTGTAGACAATAAGTAGCTAATTGAAATGAAACTGAACCCTTTCACAAAGACAAAAACATTTGAGTGTATTCCCGCTACATGAAAGGTATTACTCCACAAAAATCATAAGCAAGATGCTCATAAACCAGAACCCCCAGTGTTTTTCTTTCTTTCTTTTTTTTTTTTTTTTTTGATAGAATCTGGAAGCAGCAGTTGTGATACTTTCAGTAGTTCTTTCTTATTGATAGAAATGAGCAATGAGAATAGCTTTGGTAAGGGACAGACACTTGTGAATCTTGAAAACTGGGTAATTAAAAGGAATAAGCCTGGTTTTTTGTTTGTTTTTGCTGAGAGTTAATAGATTTTTTTTTAAAATCATATTATTCTTTCTGTATTCAGCAATAAAACTGAGCACTTACCCAGTGCCAGATACTGTGTTAGAACCTGGAAACAAATTACAATCATGGTGCTAGCCAATTTTACTTTGTTAAGTGCTTTAAGTATTTGTAAATCACTTATTTATTTATTTTAATCTTTTATTTAAGGTCTATAAATTTCATGTATTTCATATATATGGATTTAGGAACATAGTGATGCTTCCCACCTTGCCCTCCCTACTCCCCATGCTTTCAACCTTCTTCCTTCTCCTTTCCCTATTCCTACTCTTACTTTTTGCAAAGATCTATTTTCAGTTTATACTCATAAGATTGAACCTATACTAAGTAAAGAGTTCAACAAATAGCATGAAAAAAAACCCACTATTCCTCAACAGTTGAGACCAGGGCTGTTAAAAATCATCACATCTCAAAGTGTCAAGTCATTTATATTTATCACAAATCTAGAAAGCAGGAGTGAACCTCATCTGGTATATAGAGTCAGATACCTAGGATCATAGTGTCTTGGATGGGTAGTTGAGAGCAGAATGTATGTCTGTACAACCTGTGAATGTAACACTTGATCCAACAACCCCTTGACCTTGATGTGGTGGTCACTCGGAAGACACACATCTAAGCAAACCCTCACAATGCTGTGTAAATAGTTCTCTAGTAGAGAGATGTTCCCAGAACTGTGGAGACAGAAACAAGTTTGCAATTCTTCATCCTAAAGAGAGGAAATTTCACAAGGAGAAGTAATATTTCAATAGCTTCATGAGTTTCAATATTTTATTAAGTTGACTCTTTAGGGGAGACTTAAAGTTTTCTAGTTGGGGAAGGGAGGACAGAGGATCCCAGAGAGAAGCATTCTACAGACAAAGGGTGGACTCTAAGGTCATTTAATAAGGGCGTTTCGTGTTTGAGAAATGGAGCAGTACTGTCCACCCTTCTGGTCTGGCTGCTTTCAGACTGTTGTCCCATTACATTCTCACTACAGTCCTGCCAAGATTGTTGCTGGATTACAGAAGGCATGCATGGAAGTGGTGCATTGTAAATATTAGTTGAAGATAGATTATAAGGACCCCATTAGGCTCCCGACTATTCTTTTTCAATGTAACAACTTTGAAAATTTCTATAAGGTTAACAAATTTCATATAAACAGGTTTAGGAGCATAGTGATACTTCCTGCTCTACCCTGAGTTTTCCAACTTTGTTCTTCCCTGTAATTTTATAACTTAAAAAGTTCCTTGAAAAGCTCTTAATGTATGATGTACACTTTAAAGTCCATGTAAACAGGTTACATACTCTGTTGAAAACAGGAAATGTGTCAGTGGAATATTACCTCCTGACATAAAAAGCATCTATTAAGTGTCGTTCACTTAAAAATACATTGGTTTAGAATGTAAACCAGTTTGGTCTCAGGTTTCTTACATGTGTACCTCTTTCACTGTGTTGTGAGCATAGTCATGGGCAAAGTGCAACCATGGGCTTCTCCCTACCTCTAGTTTCCAGTGCAATGTTTAATTCCTGTGGGGCATTAAATGTTGAAACTTTGAATTAATGAGCAAACACAGCTTTCATGTGGCAGTTAGAGTTGCAGCTTGTTTGCATATTGAAAAGACTAGTGAATGTTAATTGTGAGTAGTTCTGATTCTATAGTGAGGTTGAATGAAAAAAATCTCAATGTGGCTTGAATTCACATACTGGGGCATTTCAAAAAGATTGTGGAAAATGGAATTAAAGGGTAAGTTTATTTTAATACCAGGAATTTTTGAAATTCATAATATACTTTTCTCTGACCCCCATTTTTCCTCAAGGACCCTTAATAGAATATATTTTCATGAAAGTTCAAGAAAAATATACATTACAAGGGAAGTATGCATAGATTTTAAAACATTTCTGCACCAAAAGAAAATTATCTTTTTATTCTATTTTCTACAAACTTTTAAATTACTTTCATAGTAGCAAAGAGTAGAATAAACATGTAAGTATTCTTTATACAATTGGAAAAATAAGAAATTTAAGAGCTTCTCAAAAGAAGTTTGCAGATAACTTTCCAGTTCCAGCAAAATATTAACTAACCTTCGTGATCCTACTAAAACCAGGAATTGAACCAGATTCTTCTTTACCTTGACTGTTGCCTCCCACTCTTGATTTTAGCAATTAGATTGAAATAAATTATTCTAGGTATAGGTAGGAGTATTTCTGTCAAAGCTAGTGATATATTTTTTAAAATTCACCTAAGTTTTTTGCTTCACTATAGGGCAACTGAGAAAAAGTAAGGAATATAAAAAGAAGGTATAAGGGAATTTTTACTTATTTAGTTTCTGACTTGAAACTTAGCACATAGGCTGCACCTTAGAGTTAACATACCGCCAAAATTATTGTTTTAAGTCAAACTAAATCCAGACATTTCAAGAAGCCAGAGAAAGAACTTATGCATTTTAATTCACTTAATTCATTTGTTATCTCCATTGTTTCATTATTTTCATTTATTCATTCAGTGAACATCATTTATTGAATGTTTACTCTGTGTTGGAAACAAAAATTGGTGCTTTGGTTAATTGTATACAATTAAATAGGTGCTTTGGTGAATTAAGAATTGGACAAAGTTCATTCTTAGTTTATACATTTATAATTATACATAAAATGCTCTTTTCTTTCTAGTAACACATGGTATTGAACTATTTAAAGGAAATGTCTACCATATGTTGTTGGTGAAATTAATAAGTCGAACCATAGGGAATTGCCATAGTCAACCATTTTGAACTGTCATTGTAGCAAGTTCATATCATAATTCAACCTAATAAATATTTCAATATGAAGTTAAATATTTTTAGTAAGTAATCCTTTTGCAAGATAAACTTTTGAAGAGGAGCTGTTACTGATCATGAAACTGAGTAACACACAGCAACTAGTGTTATGTATACCACATACCTTTGATGCTTATTTAAAACAGATGTTCAGTGTTCTTGGTAAATATCTTAAAAACTATTCCTCTGAGTCAATAAAACAAGACCTCACCATTGAATGAGGCAACATTTAGGTGCATGTCACACCCTGATGATAATGTTTATTCATTCAAGAAGGTCCTATAAGCCCTTGAAATATTCAGCAAACTTTGTGGGGAGATTAATTTTCCCATTTTTGTTCTTCGGGTGCAAGTGATTTTCAGACATGTAGACTGTGTGGTTTGGTGTTTATGTAGCTTACAAATATCCAGTCACCTGAAGAAGTGAACCCTGTGTGTTGGATTCTTCCCTTTTGACAAAATTCCAGGTCGAGAGTGGCAGTTCATAGGGTACACTCACTTTCAGGGTGGCTCAATCAAAAATCCCATGTTTTTTCTTCCTACTATCTTTTGAACTCTGTACTTAGTGGCAGGTTAATCATATGACTATAAAAGTACTGAAAGTATATGATTAAAAAATTAAAAGAATAAAATAGGAAAGAGGAGAGAGGGTGGGAGTGTGGGTGGGAGGGAGGGTAGAGTAGGAAGTATCACTATGCTCATAAATCTGTATATATGAAATACATAAAATTTACTCACCTTATACATAAAAATTTAAAAAAATCTGGTTAGTAACAAGATAGGAATCACAGTAAATACATAAAAATTATTCATGCCAAGATAAAATATATTACTTATGTCAAAGAAGTAGAAGTCATATTTCTATAAATTTGAACATATTTATAACTCATGAAATTAAATGATTCAGGAGATATGGATTTGCATATTACAAGCAATTAGACATCAAGCACTCTTTTCCTCATATATATTTGACATTAATGTTTGAGTAGGTCTAACAGGCAATTAAAAAAGACAATATCTCTGATATCATATTTTGTTGTCAGCACAAACTGAAAAATTGGACTTTGAGTTTCCTTTAGGAGAATGTCCTTGCAGCAAAAGGCAAGTTGTGCCCCATCAAGTAAAGAAAATGTAAATAAACAAAACCTTATTTTTTCACTCAGGTTTTATAAAAAAAATTAATGATTTCGGAAGAGAGTCACAATATCCATTAGGAAACATTGTGTTAATATCGCTAACATTTTTGGATGTTTAATGTCTTCTAAAAAGCAGATTTGCTAAAATGTGTGTGCTGTTCTGTTACAGAACTCAAACTCACGTTTTTCATTTGAGCGTAGTGATAAGATGAAATATCAGTGAGTGTAAATGCTTAATGAATTGCTTTTCTCCATCCATGACAGTTTTCAAAGCTGTCTTTGTGTTCTCTGAATCACAGACAGTGAGACACAGCTCCGGAGAGACATGGTTTTCTGCCAGAGTCTGGTGGCCACCGTCTGTGCCTTCTCTGAGCAGCTCATGGCAGCCTTAAACCAGATGTTTGACAACAGCAAGGAAAATGAGATGGAAACCTGGGAAGCCAGCAGAAGATGGCTGAACCAGATAGCAAATGCAGGTGTCCTCTTTCACTTCCAGTCACTTCTGTCACCAAACCTGGTAAGGAATCACTTGACTTCTACCGTCTGTCAGCTCTACTCCTTGTCACATGTTCCCAAATAGGAAGTAGTTATTCATATCTCCCTCACTGTCTCCTTCATCATTTGATCCACAGTCATCTAGGTTCTCTAAAAGAATGTTATTTTCTATGGTCGTTCAAGTTTTCGTAAGTACACAGGATGTGTTCCTTCTTTGCTGAATTTTTTTTTTTTTCAAAGCTCAGTTTCTTTTTTTTTTTTTTTTATCTTTTATGTGGTGGATTCAAATTTCCAAAGTACGACTCATGTGTTACAATGGCTTCCCCCCCCATACCGTCCCTCCCACCCACAACCCTCCCCTTTCCCACTCCCTCTCCCCTTCCATTCACATCAAGATTCATTTTCGATTATCTTAATATACAGAAGATCAGCTTAGTATACCTTAAGTAAGTATTTCAACAGTTTGCTCCCACACAGAAACATAAAGTGAAAAATAATAGATGATTTTTTTTAAAATGATGATGAAATCAGATCAGACCTATTGTCATGTTTAATCCCAGTGAGAGTCAAGTTGGGAATTGATAATTTCTTTCTTTTTTTTTTTTTTTTTTTTTTTTTTTTTTTTTACAGAAGATCAGTTTAGTGTACATTAAGTAAAGATTTCAGTCGTTTGCACCCCCATAGAAACACAAAGTGAAATATACTGTTTGAGTACTCGTTATAGCATTAAGCCTCAGTGTACAGCATGTTAAGGACAGAGATCCTACATGAGGAGTAAGTGCACAGTGACTCCTGTTGTTGACTTTACCAATTGACACTCCTGTTTATGGCATCAGTAATCTCCCTATGCACCAGTTATGAGTTTCCAAGGCTATGGAAGCCCCTTGAGTTCTCCGACTCTTATCTTGTTTAGACACGGTCATAGTCAAAGTGGAGGTTCTCTCCTCCCTTCAGAGAAAGGCACCTCCCTCTTTGAAGACCTGTTCTTTCCACTGGGATCTCACTCACAGAGATCTTTTTGCCAGAGTGTCTTGGCTTATCTCTTTTCCCGGGCTGCTAAAAGCTGAGAAAGCCTCCATCTGTGACTAATTCTTATATCCCTAAGTACTGACCGAAAAAGGTCATCCAAAGAAAGGATGTCTTTCTACTGCTGTTGCTTATTTCCAGTTCAGAAGAAACAGCCTTCCACAAACCCGGAGCCCCCGTGGAGGGTGATACTCTGGAGCACGCTTGCTAGACGAGCTCAGACAACTCCTACGCCACACTGTCTGACAATCTGTTTAGAATTTGCATGCATTAAATAACTTTAGTTCTCTCCTTTGTATGCATGTTTATCCCATTAAATCTGAGAGCACTGTGCTAATTACTATGAAGTATTCCTTATTTATGCATCATGTTCCACAGTGGATATGGAGAAAACATGCTGAAATATTTGAAAAATATTGAAAACTATGGTGAGCCTAGAGTTTGTTCACACATACTTTTTGTGTACTTGTGATTTTTTTTAAAGATTTATTTATTTGAAAGAGTTACAGAGAGAGGTAGAGACAAAGAAAGAGGACTTCCATCTGCTGGTTCACTCCCTAAGTGTCCCAAATGGCCAGAGCTGGCCTGATCCAAAGCCAGGAACCAGGGGCTTTCCTCTGGGCCTCAAACACGGGTGCATACAGGGGCCCAAGGAGTTGGGCCATCCTCTGCTGCCTTCCCAGAAACTTCAGCAGGGAGCTGGATTGGAAGTGGAGCAGCCAGAACTCAGACCAGTGCCCATATAGGATGCTGACGCTGCAGGCCGGGGCTTTAACCTGCTGGGCCACAGCGCCGGCCCCCTGTCATTTTGTTTAAAGTTATATATTTCACATGTTCACTTTTATATATAAACTTCAACTGCACGTGTTCATTAAATGTAATGCTGATTTTAGACATGAGAGCCTATCTCATCAGTGAAAGTACACACAGAGAATGTAGCTACCAGGGAATGTGGTTGAGCTTTTAATCAAATGTATATGATTTTACACATAAAATATGTTTTTCTTCAGTGATGGTGAGGGTAGAGAAGCAGGGGCTGTACTGCATGGCTATAAAAGGTTCTGGATTGATAAAGTAAGGGAGCCACTCTCCATGTACTTCAGAAAAACAAAAGTACATATTTATTTATTTATTTGTTTGAAAGATAGAGTTATAGTCAGAGAGAGGGAGAGACAGGAAGGTCTTCCATTCACTGGCTCACTGCCCAAATGCCCACAACAGCTGGAGCAGGACCAATCCAGAGCCAGGAGCCAGGAGCTTCTTCTGGGTCTCCCACAAAGATGCAGGGATCCAAGCACTTGGGCCATCTTCCACTGCTTTCCCAGGCCATAGCAGGGAGCTAGATTGAAAGAGGAGCAGCCGGGGCACGAACCAGCGCCCCCATGGGACGCCAACACCACAGACGAAGGCTTAGGCTACTATGCCACAGCACTGGCCCCAAAAGTACATTCTTAGAAGTTTCTGTGTACTCCCTGTTTGTGTTCAATTTATCTATCACTGACATAATCAAATAAAGAAGATTCAACTAGTGAAAATTTTGAAATAAGGCATTTTTGGAAAAGTGTTTAAAATAAAATCAGTGTTAATTAATCTTTACTTAACAGTTATAAATTATATATGATGGGAAACACTCCTAACACATGGGAGGCATTAGGTATTTGTTGATTGAGTGAATAGATAGGACTTCATTTCTATTCTATTCCCTTTATTTTAAAACTATCACTGTCTAATCAAGTGATGATAGTTTTACTTTGAACTTAATGTGATTTGAAATCTCAAGGAATGAAAAAATGTTTATAAATCTTAAGTCTGATAAGTAACATGTCCAGAATATGTAATGAAGCCTTAAAGGTCAATAGTTAAAGAGATTGGCATAACACAACAAGGTAAGCCACCACCTGTGATGCCAGCATCCAATATGGGCACCAGTTCAAGACCCAGCTGCTCCACTTCCGATCTATCTCCCTGCATATGTGCCTGGGAAAACAGTGGAGGATGGCCCAAGTATTTGGGCCCCTTTACCTGCATGGGAGACCTGGAAGAAGCTCCTGGCTCCTAGCTTCAGCCTGGGCCAGCCCTGGCCATTGCAGCCATTTAGGGAGTAAACTAGCAGATGGAAGGTCTCATCATCCACTGCTTTCCTCAGGTTATTAGCAGGGAGCTAGATCAGAAGTGGAGCAGCCAGGACACAAACTGGTGCTCATATGGGATGCTTATGTCACAAGCAGTGGCTTTACCCACACTAGGCCACAACGCTGGTCTCGGATTCTTTAGTCTTGTCTGTTCTACCAGGTTCCTGATACGTTTTTTTCTTTGTTTCAAAGTATTTTTTTTTTTTTTTGACAGGCAGAGTGGACAGTGAGAGAGAGACAGAGAGAAAGGTCTTCCTGCCGGCGCCGCAGTTCACTAGGCTAATCCTCCGCCTTGCGGCGCCGGCACACTGGTTTCTAGTCCTGGTCGGGGCACCGGATTCTGTCCTGGTTGCCCCTCTTCCAGGCCAGCTCTCTGCTGTGGCCAGGGAGTGCAGTGGAGGATGGCCCAAGTGCTTGGGCCCTGCACCCCATAGGAGACCAGGAGAAGTACCTGGCTCCTGCCATCGGATCAGCGTGGTACGCCGGCTGCAGCGTGCTGGCTGCAGCGGCCATTGGAGGGTGAACCAACGGCAAAGGAAGACTTTTCTCTCTGCTCTCTGTCTCTCTCTCTCTCACTGTCCACTCTGCCTGTAACTTCCTAGGGAAAAAAAAAAAAAAGAAAGGTCTTAAGGTCTTCCTTTGCCATTGGTTCACCCTCCAATGGCCGCCGTGGCTGGTGTGCTGCGGCCGGTGCACCACGCTGATCCGAAGGCAGGAGCCAGGTGCTTCTCCTGGTCTCCCATGCGGGTGCAGAGCCCAAGCACTTGGGCCATCCTCCACTGCACTCCCTGGCCACAGCAGAGAGCTGGCCTGGAAGAGGGGCAACCGGGACAGAATCTGGTGCCCTGACCAGGACTAGAACCCGGTGTGCCAGCGCCGCAAGGTGGAGGATTAGCCCTATGAGCCTCGGCACCAGCACTGTTTCAAAGTATTTTTAAAAACAGTAGTTTAATAAGCATTCATCCAGTAGTTGCTGCATTCTATGCACTCTACGATGTACCAAATCAAGGTGAAGAAGTGGCAGATTTTCTCCACCCTTTGTTTCCATGATGTTCATCTATGATATCTGGGGCTGCCTTCCTGGTTCTTTTTTGAAACAATGGAAATTCCTTGCCACCTCCTTCTACCCTCCAGTAATACTGCCCCAAAATACAGGTGCAAGCTTACAGCAACTTTTAAAAATGCTGCATAAAGCATGTTCAACTATTTAAAAAGGTTGAATTCATAAAGAAACAGGTGTTATCTTTAAGAGATAAACTGTGTATGATAAGATGAATTATACTTTCATGATGAAAATAAGAAAAGACCCTGTGAAGATTCCAGGGCCTAGTACCAGAAAGAGAGGCACTGAAGTTGTTACCATGTCTGGGCCTTACCTGACTCAGCTACAAATCATTTACTGTGAGAGTGAAAGAAATGGTTAAAAGAAATTGAATCTGTTGCTCACAAGATTGTAGGCTCACGTCCCCTGGAGAAAAGTGGCATAAAAATTATTCTTGCCCCCATGCTCTTTGGAATACAAATAATTACCTGCATGGAAATTGCTTTTATCACAGTTGCAACAAATGGCAAATTGAATAGTGAATAAATTATCTTATAAAATAGACTGCCCATTATATAGCACAGCTTTAAATAAAACAAAATACTTGCTTTTCATCTGCTTAATTTATGATGTGTTTGAAGTTTAGAGACAAATAAGAGCTTTTCTGTATCCCTCTGTGCAAATAATGAATGAAATCAATATGATTAGAAATAAGCTAAAAGAATGAAACTTTGTGTGACCATGTAATCAATAGAGAAAAATAAAAATATAAAACCATGAACGACATTTGTAACAAAGATTTGTTAATTAGATTTAGGTCTGTAAATTCTTAGAAAAATGTTGATAAGTTGGTTTTGTGTATAAATAGAACACAAGTAGAACACTTTTTGGTCTGAATTTACATAATGGCATGTCACTTTCTATTATATCCTATCATGTTATATCATACATTGTTTTTTTCTTTATAGACAGACGAGCAAGCCATGCTGGAAGATACACTAGTTGCACTATTTGATTTGGAAAAGGTTTCTTTCTACTTTAAACCATCAGAAGAGGAACCACTGGTTGCAAGTTAGTAACTAAATGTTCATGAATTTCATTGATGTCAAATAATAACATAGCACAACTTTGATATTAACATTGATATACAGTAGTACTTTATGAATTGATGGATTGATAAGTATTTCTTTGAGTTATCATTTTTCTGTCATCAAACCTGACAAAAGAAATATTGCGGAAGTTACACGTTCAGAGGAACAGTAACACATATGGTCTAATGTTCATGTATTTTAGTTCATGCAAATTGTTTATCTGCTACTTCAACACCATTCAAAGTAGGTTTAAATGTATTAATCCAAGAAAGCTTCAGCAATTTGTTATTTCTTTTTGTCTCTTATTCTTATAAGTGTGGGGAACCAATATATTACTCCAGAGAAAGGAAGCATTTTCAGGGCTGTAAGAGGTTCTTATTTTTCACATTCCTATTGTATAGTACAATAAATAGGGCTCAATAAATTTCAGTGTAATCAGTGCCGTGATTGAAGAATTATATTCATTCATTCATCTACAAATTCATAAATGAATACTTCTTGACAAAACTTTTCTAGGTATTAGATTCAGAAGAGAGCTAAAGAGGTAAATATCTCTCATGGGAATCATTCAGATTAGCAGAGATAAATAACAAAGAAGATAAATGAGCTAATTTTATAATAAATTAGAAGGGTCATCGAAAATGTTAGTAAAAGAGGCGCAGAACTGAGAGGAGGCAGAATGTGAATCTACAGCCAGGCTGAATTTATTCAGAGAAAATAAATTGGCAGAGTTGGGTGACTAACTGCCGGTGTGTACATTGAGGGAACATGGGGCAGGAGGCCCTGACCCCAGGAGCCCGGCCTTTGTCTATCTTAGGAAGGCTAGGGATGGGGGTGTGGGTAGGGGGCCGCAGGCAGAGGTGAATTCCTGGAACTGGTCTTTCAGGTGGCCAAGCAAATGATCTTTCAGGTGGCCTCATGGGACCTCTGAACCTGGGGAAGAATGTGGAATTGGGGTGTGAAGGCAATAAGGTGTGAGACCCAATTAAGATTCAAGGGCAAGGAATAAAGTCCTATGCTTATCTATCTTTTGGGCAATGATGAGAATGGCTGAAGCTTATGTCTGTGTTCCATCAGTGACAATATGAACCAAAGGGAGATAAGAGATCAGAGTATAAGGATAAGGGGCGAGTGAAGGGCTGTGAATAGCAGGATAAGGAGGGAAGGCTTACTGAGAAGCAGCAGAGGACTGAGGGAATGAGTAAGTGGGTGTTGGGAGAGGGGCAGCCCAGACTCATAGAATCAGAGGTGGGAGTGCATGTGGTGGGTTCTCAGGACAGCAAGCAGGCTTGTGTGACTGGGACAGAGCCAGAGACAGGAGCAGACAAGATAAGAATGGAGAAGAGCCAATGATGCAGGACTTTCCAGCTTTGTCTTCCCTCCCAAATCATTGAGTAGATGGAGGAAGGAATCTGTCTTTGAGGTTAAAAAGCAGACTGCTTTGTTGAGAAGGTCTTCTGGAGGTAAGGGCAGAAGCCCAGAGAACAGTGAGGAAACTGTTGCCTGACCACATGAGAGATCATGGCCACTTGGCTTGAGGGTCGCTGCAGAGATGGTTAAAAAAAAAAAAAAAAAAACCCTGAATTTTATTAAAGTTTCTCTTCCACTGATGAACAAGAGGACAAACAAGAACGTGAAGATGTGAAGTATAAAATTAGACATTTAGGATTTATTAAAGGAAATTTTTTTCTGGAGAAGAGTAATATTTGATAAGGATAATATTATTTGAACAAATTATGTGGTCTTCTGTGGCCATATAAAGAATGGGATATATTTTCATGTTCTTGAATAATGTGGCCATAGCTTTGCTGAAGGAAAAGAGAACCCTATTTCTGTGATATAACCCAATGTGATTTTTGAAGTTTTGCCTGAGGGACTATAAGCTCACAGAAGCACTGTTTTCTGTGGTTCCAATATGACATTATTGGCAAATAGTCTGTTGAACAAGTATGAAAAGAACCAATATCATAAGCTTAATGAAATATTTACTTATTGTATGTCTGCTATGAGAAATTTAAATTTGGCATATTGGAATACATACTACATATTAAATACAATCGAGGATATGTAAAGAATAATAGTATATAAATGTAGATGTACCCGTATCAGACACAAAAATTGTGACATACATCTACAATACATTTTTATGTATTTCTTTGAAGCATAACCTTCAGTTATGAAAATAGTTCTCTAGTGAAAGACTGGTTTCAAGGCTATACTACTAGGCATGTCAGGAAAATTAAAAACTGTGATGATAGATGTATTAGTCAGCTCTTCATAACTACAACAACATACCCAAGGCACTAACTTTCTAAAGAGAAAAAGTTTATTTGACTCACAGTTTTGGAGACTTGGAGTCCATTAGTGTGCAACCGCATTGGTTTGGCCTCTGGTGAAGGCAGCAGATGGTGGCATATCATGGGGGTAATGTGTGTATGTCTGTGCATTGGGGGTTACAAAGTTATATCACTTTATAGTCAGAGGGAGTCTCAAAATTCCTTCCAAGGGCATGCCTCCAATGACCTAATGACGTCTTGGTAGCTCCCACTTCCCAAAGGTTCCAACCCCTAATAGCTTCATCCAGCTTCATCCATGGTTTTACCAAACCATGGCAATGGGAATAAATCTCATTTTAAGTTGACTCAGGGAAAAAAAAGGTCATCACATATTAAGTGGTTTAATAAAACTAGACCTCTGTTATCCTGGATACAATTTGATCTTTGTATATGCATAGAAGCAGAGGAACATGATTGACTCATTAATTCTGCATCACTGTAATGGAGACCAGTTAGCTGCATGTCCATAAGGGAAGGACTAAGTGTGGAGAGAAGGAATGAAGGTGTAGAGATTATTATCTTTGAAGTTGAGAAACCTAATTTCTTCTTGCTTTCTTCTCATCTGCAAACAAAAGATTAGCTTTCCCCAGCTTACTAGGTTGAAGGGCTTAAATAAAATACTGTATTTTAAGCAGTCTACCATTTATATGGATCATAGTAGTGTTCAGTGAGAATTTTTTTTTTTAAAGATTTTATTTATTTATTTGAGAAGTAGAGTTACAGACAGTGAGAGGGAGAGACAGAGAGAAAGGTCTTCCATCTGCTGGTTCACTCCTGAAATGGCAGTAACAGTGGAGCTGAGCTGATCTGAAGCCAGGAGCCAGGTCTACTACTTTTCCAGGCCATAGCAGAGAACTGGATGGTAAGAGAAGCAGCCGGGACTAGTACCGGTGCTGGGATATGGGATGCCGGCGCTGCAGGCAAATGATTAACTTACTGTGCCACAGCGCCGGCCCCCAGTAAATATTTGAATTCACCCCCCTTACCTTATTACTTTGTAGTCTTTTCTAAAAGCTGTATTTATAGCATCATCCATCTTCTCATTTGTACATTAAGTAATAATGAAATTCTAAACTGCTATGGCATGCTAAGCAAATAGACTCAGATGTTTGGATTGAAGACATTTCATTTCATCAAAGAAATATTGTTAAATATGTATAGCACAATAACCACCAAACTAAGTTCGAGAAATACAATGGTAAGCAAATAAAACAAAGTCCCATTTGGCAGCAAGCTTAGAGATTACTGTTATATTATTATTGGAGGAAAAAAGAAAACAGTTAGATGATTAGGTTATATAAAGCAGAACTTCTCTTTTTTTATTGATGCTGCAGGTAAATTTCTGGTAATTAATTATTAGGAGAATGAATATTTTTGACCCCTACAGTCTCTGTATGGGCCAGGCATTGTCCTGGAGTGGTGGATGTCAAGATGGATGAGAGAAATTCAATCCCTGTGTTCACGGGCCTGACAGTATTGTTACAAAACAATAATTAAGGGATTAACTTCACGGATAGGGCTATAATGAATCCTCTAGAGGAAATAAGCAGATGCATAATGAAAAAGGATGAAGTGGCCTTAAAAAAAATGACCAGTGAAGAACTCTGCAGAAATTGCTTAAGGGGCAATGTTGTGTCCCAGCTAGTTGGACTAGCCAGCATTCCATGTGGGGATTCCCTGTGGGAATGCTGGTTTGAGTCTCAGCTGCTCTTCTTCCAATCCAGCTTCCTAATAATATGCTTCATAAAGCAGTGGAAGATGGCCAAAGTGCTTGGACCCCTGCCACCCATGCGGGAGACACAGCTGAGTTCTTGGCTCTGGCCTTCAGCGTGACCCAGCCATAGCTGTTGAGGCCATCTGGGGAGTGAACCAGTGGGTGGAAGATAGCTTTCCCCCTCCCCTTCCCTTCTCACCCTGCCTTTCAAATGTATAAGTAAAGAAATATGGAGAAAAAAAGAAACAGCTTTAAATTGTACTCTGAGGACATCAAAGGTATAGCTTTGCAGAGGGTCAGGGAAAAGCAGTCAAAGCAGACAGAACTAATGACTTTTTAGAGACTAATCTCAAATCAAGGTCCACTCAATGGTTGGGGGTCATGGTTACAGGGTTGGAATGGCTCTGTTCAAACTCCTCTCTAGGATCAATCCCTCTGGTGCTATCAGAGACCTTTTTCTCATGTAATAATGATTTTGAAGATTTTAATATTTATGTAGTCCTAACCAGTAAGTTTGCTTTTCATAGAAGATAAATGGCTACCCACAAAAGCAGTAATTATCAATTCTACATTGTTCTATACTTTTAAAAAAGTTTTCTTAATGTTAGGTTTTAAGAGTTCTTTGTGGCTGGTGCCGTGGCTTATTAGGTTAATCCTCCGCCTGCGGCGCCGGCACACCAGGTTCTAGTGCTGGTCGGGGCACCAGATTCTGTCCCGGTTGCCCCCCTTCCAGTCCAGCTCTCTGTTGTGGCCTGGGAGTGCAGTGGAGGATGGCCCAAGTGCTTGGGCCCTGCACCCCATGGGAGACCAGGAGAAGCACCTGGGTCCTGGCTTTGGATCAGCGCGTTGCGCTGGTCGCAGCGTGCAGGCCGCAGCGGCCATTGGAGGGTGAACCAACGGGAAAGGAAGACCTTTCTCTCTCTCTCATTTTGTCCACTCTGCCTGTCAAAAAAAAAAAAAAAAAAAAAAAGAGTTCTTTGTATAATTTGAAATTGCAGTCCTTTGTTGGTTATATCTTTTGCAAATGTTTTCTCCCAGTCTGGTATTTATGTTCTTTTTTGTTGACACTGTCTTTCACAGGGTGGAAGATATAAATTTTAATTAAATCCAGCTTATCAATTCTTTATTTATAGATTGTGTTTTTTATATTATTTCTGAAAAGTCATCACGATGTCCAAAGTCATCTAGATTTTTCTCCTGGGCCATCTTCTAGGAGTTAGATTTTTGGATTTTACCTTTTGGTCTATGACCCATTTTCAGTTAATTTTTGTAAAGGGTATAAGGTCAGTGCATAGATTTTTATGTTTTTGTATATAGGTGTCCAGTTGATACAGAACCATTAGTTGAAGGGTATCTTTGCTCCATTGTATTGACTTTGTTCCTCTGCCTAAGACTTTATCAGTTTCAATATATGCAGATGCATTTCTGGGCTCTTTATTATGTTCCATTGATCTGATTCTCTATTATTTGACTAATACCATAGTGTCTTGATTATTTGAGTTTAATAATAAATCTCAAAGTTGGATGGTTCAGTTTTCTTTGTTTTCTCCTTCAGTATAGTTTTGGTTATTCTGAGTCTTTTGTCTTTGCATATAAATTTCAGAATCATTTTGTATTCATTAAATAAATTCAGATTTTGATTGGTTTTGAATTGAGGTTGTAGATCAAGTTGGGAAGAAATAGCATACTTACAATATTGAATATCTTCTGTCTACAAGCTTTGAATATTACTCGATGTATTTAATTTAAAAAAAATTTTTTTAATTTTAGTTTTTCTCATAATGATTTTATATATTTTTACTAGAATTATATCAAATTATTTCATTGAGAAAGACTAATATAAATGGTATTGTATTTTTAACTTCAAATTCTACTTGTTGGCCAGCGCCATGGCTCACTAGGCTAATCCTCCGCCTGTGGCGTCAGCACCCTGGGTTCTAGTCCCGGTTGGGGCACCGGATTCTGTCCCAGTTGCCCCTTTTCCAGGCCAGCTCTCTGCAGTGGCCTGGGAATGCAGTAGAGGATGGCTCAAGTGCTTGGGCCCTGCACCAGCATAGTAGACCAGATTGGGGCACCTGGCTCCTGGCTTCGGATCGGCGCAGCGTGCCGGCCATAGCAGCCATTTTGGGGGTGAACCAACGGAAAGGAAGACCTTTCTCTCTGTTTCTCTCTCACTGTCTAACTCTGTCTGTCAAAAAAATTTTTTTAAAAATTATACTTGTTTATTGCTAGTATTAGGGAAATCAGTTGATTGTTATATATTAATTTTGTATCCTACTACCTCACTATAATGACTTATTAGGGTTTTTTTTTTTTGGTTTAATTTTTTTTTCAGCTTTTCTATATAATTATGTCATCTGTGATCAAAGACAATTTTATTTCTATTTTTCCCAAACTAAGCTTTTTATTTATTATTCTTGTCTTACTGTATTAGCTAGGGGTTTCTTAAAAAGGGGTGGTGAAGGGAGATATCCTTGTGTGTTCTTGATTTTAGTGGGAAGTCTTCTGTTATCTCACCAGTTGTAGATATTCTTTTATGAGGTTGAAGAAGTTCCCTGTATTCCTAGTGTACTGGGAATTTTACCATAAATAAGTGTTGGATTTTGTCAGCAAAGATTTTTTTGGTGGCTATTCAGATGGTTATGTGATTTTTCCTGTCTAGCCTGTTGACATAATGGAATACATTAATTGATTTTCAAATGTTGAGTTAACATTGCATAACTTGTTAAATGACAATCAATTGTCATATATAATTATTTTTATACATTACGAGATTTAGTTTGCTATTTTTGTGGTTTTTTGCAACTATATTCTTGTATAAACTTTTACAGTTGTAACACTTGAAGTGAAGCAATCTCCATTCTTTATCATAATACTCTTAGTTTTAACTTCATTTTAGTTAACATACTTGATAGTTTTCAGAAAGCATTAACAAATCTTGATTTGTTCTAGGCTTGTGCTATAAAGTGAGACTCTGTCTGCTACATCACTATTTTCCTTTCAATAACATTATTCATTCATTGAAATAGAGACCAGCTACATTAATGCCAATGAGTAAAAGAATTTAATGAGACCTAAAATAGGTATGAGAGAGAGTGTATTAAAAAAGGAAAACTAGAATTTACAAATATTTAGTGTGCATTAATCTATATTTTTTCAGTGCTCATATATCTCTTTTATCTTTATTTTAGAAACCATAAGAAAAACTTTTTCCAGTCATTAAAGTGCCATTAATTTTCACATCTTTCACTGAGAAACTTATTTGTTCTCTTTTACAAATTAAAACTTTCATATCTTCCATTTTTAAAATTGTAGGTGTCGCTCCCCCTCTTCGTGGAGGAATGACACTGGACCCTGCGCTGTTCTTTCGTCTGCTCGGCCCTCCCCGGGTTTGCTGCTGGTTCTTCCCGGGTTGGCTACTATCCCTTCCACCTCCGTCGAAGGGCAGTTCCCCCTGGCCGCTTTCCCCACTTCCGCAGGGGAGCGGCACACCGCAGGCCGGCTTTCTCGGGGGCTGCACAGGTGTTCCTTCAGCTAGATGTTCCCCTTAGATGTTCCCTGGTGCATGCCGTCTCTCTCCTCCTTTATAGTCCTCCTCCGCCAATCCCAACTCGGCTGCCCACACGCCGAGTACGCTGCTCTCCAATCAGGAGCAAGTCCTACAGTTTATTGGTTGAACTGGAGGCAGCTGTGCGGAAGCTGTTTACTTCTCTCCCAGCGCCATATTGTGGGAGAGCAGATGCATAGAATAAGTCTTAATTCCAGTAACTCAGTCCAGTCCGGGCTGCTCCCCACAGTAGGAAATATAAAATAAGCATTAGTACGTGGAACAAAGATGTGAAATGTCAGTGCAACGTCTCCTTTACTGGCATGCAGCTAAATATAGTTAAATTTAACAAGAAGCCTGCAATCTGTGATCATAAGTGTCATTTAACCTTTAACTTTAATTCTATATAGAGTTTTATTTTGAGGCAGGTTGGAAATAATAAATATTGAGTCAAGAACATGTATTAAATGCTTACTACATTTTGGGTTTAATTTTAATTAGGTAGTATAGACAGTTCTATCTTCATAGAAAGATTTTATATTCTTTTAATGAGGTAGGAATATTTGTCATATATGTTTGTCATAAAACAAGGAAGATTTAGCATAGCATTGTGAAATACTCCTACAGCATTTAGCTATTCAGGTTTGTTTTTTTTTAATAAGTAATTAAATTTAGAATCTTTGAAAATAGCTACAAGAGTTTGAACAGATAATTTCTAATGGCTGTAGGGCACCAACAGAAGATAATACAATTTTGATCTGGTACTCAGGGAATGGAGCTTACAAAACCCATGCTAATTTTGTTAATGGTTACTATGTACTCAATTTCTTGCAAACTACTTAAGAAGTATACCCCAAGGACTCATTTTGACTAAAATATGAATGAGGCAGCTGCCCTGAGAGATTTTGAATCCAAACTATGTGCAGCTAACTCCTCATTTAGCTGAGTGAAACATCTGGTGTGTCAAGGAGCACCAAAGTTTCCTATTGCAGATCTTTATATACAATACAGTAATAAATCTGTTGCTTTAGCGGGCGAGAATCTGATTTAATGTTCTTTCCCTTGTAACTCTGTATGTCTGAGCTAGACTTGCTCTACATGAGCACTTTAGTTTCTAGTGATTTTCTGGATTGTTTTTAAGGGTTGACAGATACACCATATAGCATATCCTGATTTTAGGGAGTAACGGAAGACTAAATGTCATTGTAGATGTTCCTCTTACTTATCAAGCAGAAGGAAGCCGGCAAGCTCTGAAAGTTTACTTCTACATCGATAGCTATCATTTTGAGCAACTGCCTCAACGGTTGAAAAATGGAGGAGGATTTAAAATTCATCCTGTTCTTTTTGCACAAGGTAAACTGTTTCCCTTTTTATGATTCCTGTACCTAAGTTATTTTATCATTTTTAGTGAATATAAATGTAGTAGTCAAAGTTTGTTTTTCGTTAATTTGAAATGCATTGTTTTAGGCAATGCATTTGCTTCTGGGAATGTTTATTTAAGACAGAATCATGTATGATGTAAATTTTTATCAAATAAGATTACACCATTATGTGTAATGAAGGCTAAATTATGATTGATTTACTAAATAAAGGTAAGTTAAATTTGGCTACATAAATTTATTTAAGTTGTACTATAGTGGAGACATTAAAATGATATGGTCAAGGATAAGTACCTGGCTCCTGCCATCGGATCAGCGCGGTGTGCGGGCTGCAGCGTGCAGGCCGCGGCGGCCATTGGAGGGTGAACCAATGGCAAAAGGAAGACCTTTCTCTCTATCTCTCTCTCTCACTGTCCACTCTGCCTGTCAAAAAAAAATTATATGGTCAAATATTCTCTGACGTAGAAAAAGTCTGATAGTATATGCATGCAGATTATAAAAAATAATTTATATTTTACTCTCAATTATATATGAATCTATATACTTACATGCATGTCAAATGTTTTAAGTATCACTGAGTGGTTAAATTTATGCTTTATTAATATTTTTGATCAATTTTTGGTTAGGAAATATGTATTCTTTTTTTTTTTCAAATAAACAATGAGTGTCACTGACAACTGAAGAAATTAAGATTAGCACAAGTAAGAAAATTCTTGCATGAATTGTATTTCCAAAGAAAGTTTCTGTATCTTTCCTAGTTCCAGGTTCATAACGTGCTGCCTAAAAAAGATCCTGTATAGTCTCTTCTACTCTGGAATATTCTCCAAGCTTTTAAAAATGCATGCTGTGGTCACAAGGTTATATCAGTTTCTCTGAATGATACCACAGAGAATTTCATTTTTCTTCTTTTGAGTTTTCAAGAATTGCATTGCTTTGCTGTAGAATATTAATGTTCTAATACAAAATGAGGAGAGTGTAGAGGAATAAAAACATTCTGAATAACTGAAGGACACATAAGCATATGAAATCTAAGTTTGTTACCAAGTGAGGTTTTTGCTTTCTCCCACATATTATTTTTAAACCCTGAATTTTAAAAGATAGATGACTCTTCCTTCAATTGTCATAGTTTGAAAGCTGCAACTGCCTCAAGCAGATAGTTGGAATGAATACTTTTAAATAGAGGAAAGTTTCAATGAGAGGATGTTCACAGTTGTTAGAAGGTGTTTTCATTTCTCCTTGTAGGAATGTGATTTATAGGAAGGTCATAAACATTCTGTAATAAAAAGAAATAAAAAGAGTGAACACAAGTAGACCTTTGGAAATATGTCAGGGAATAGTTAAACCTAAAATATGTTAAAAGCCATTACCGGTGAAGACAGTTCGAGAAGATAGGGAAGGGTGCTTGTCTAGAATGTTAACTTTTATAGAGTTTAACCAGAGCTTACAGTTATTAAAGCCTCTGCATTTCATTTCTTTTCTTTCTGTCTGAATTTTGTCTCTTTGAAATCATTACTGAAATGACAGATGGCACTAGTCACCTTTTAAAAAAAAAAAAAAATCATTTCAGGGCCAGCGCCATGGCTTACTTGGCTAATCCTCCGCCTGCAGCGCCAGCATCCCATATGGGTGCCGGTTCTAGTCCCTGTGCACCTCTTCCAGTCCAGCTCTCTGCTGTGGCCTGGGATAGCAGTGGAGGGTGGCCCAAGTGCTTGGCCCCTGCACCTGCATGGGAGACTGGGAGGAAGCACCTGGCTTCTGGCTTCAGATCAGTACAACGCCAACCATTGTGGCCATTTGGGGAGTGAACCAATGGAAGGAAGACCTTTCTCTCTGTGTCTCTCTCTCTCACTGTCTATAACTCTACCTGTGAAATAAAAAAAAAAAATCTTTGCATTTGTGACACATTGGCCATAAGTAGCTGAGTAATCATCTCCACCAACCCAAGTGCATTCAAAGAAGATTATTTTGCAAACAGCCTCTATTTTTAATTTTTAATTTTGGCCAAAGTTAATTTTAAAATAATCTCTAAATAGATATAACTTCAGTGAATTAATTTAATTAAAATTTAATTTAAAGAAAAGCTATGATAAACTTTTGGTTTTAGTATTCTCATGGCTAAAAATATGAAAAAGGATTTGAATAAGCAACAATGGAAACACTTCTGTAACAAGGTCACAGATAGGTAAAGCAGCTGGGAACAGCTTGTTTGCTTAGAAATTTGTCAGTGATAAGCTTGTTTATTCAAAGAGGGTGCAGAAGTTCCTCTGCATTCCTAAGACTCCCAGGAGGGAGCTTCAGTAGCTCTTAGTATTCATCAGATAGGGAGAAGCACAGAAATTTCAGACCTAGCTAGAGAGGAGATTGCCATCTGGTAATTGAAAAGTGGTGGTAGATGGAAGAGATGCCAAGTCTAACCCTGAGATGAAATCTTAAGAGTTTGAGTTTGTTTTTTATTTTTTAATTCTTCATTTTTAAAAATTATTTATTTATTTGGGACACACAGAGAGACAGAAAGAAAATACCTTATCTACTAATTTACTCTGCAAATGCCTGCAACATCCAGGACTGGGCCAGGCTGAAGCAAGGAGGCCTGAATGCAATCTGGGTCTCCCACGTGGGTGGCAGGGACACAAGTACTTGAAGCATCACCAGCTGCCTCCCAGGGTGCGTATTAGCAAGAAGCTGAAATTGGAAGCAAAGCCAGGACTGAAACCCAGACACTTCAGTGTGGGATGCAGGTGTCCCAAGTAGTGTCCCAACTGCTATGCTAGACACCTGCTCCTAGAATTTTAATTTAGGGGCCAGCTTTGTGGCCTAGTGGGGTTAAACTGCCACCCAAGACGCTAACATCCCATATGGGCACCAGTTCATATCCTGGATGCTCCACTATTGACTCAACTCTCTGTTAAAGGCCTGAGAAATGCAGCAAAGATGGCCCAAGTGCATGGGTCCCTGCCACCCAAAGGGGAGACCCAGATGAAGCTCCTGGTTCCTAGCTTTGGTCTGGCCCAGTGCTGGGTGTTGCAGTTATGGGAATGAACCAGGAGACAGAAGGTCTTTCTTTTTGGTCTCTTCCTCTCTCCCTGAAACTCTGACTTTCAAAATAAATAAATATTTTTAAAAAAATTAGTTTTACTTTGTGTGTGCCTTTGTACACAGTTTTTTGCTAGCCAATAAAAAATAGAAAAATTGGATAAATTTGAAAGTTTCCTGGGACGTCTTTTGAAGTCAGCCTCCTGAGGTTGAACTAGAACAGGCAGCTAATCTATCAGCTTCTTCCCATTTTTTCTTGCCTCCGTGGATACTGGGGGAAGTAGAGCACAGTAATTTGTGGGCATCTTGCAGACATGGAACCAACCAAAGTGAGCAGGGTTGAAGGTAAAATAATTGCTGAAGGCCCGAGTTACAGAACAAGAATCTGGGTAGACAAAAGTGATCCTGATTTCCAAGGTAAGGAACACATAGGAAGTTTGGCACAAGGCATAGGCAAAAGCTGGAATTTGAAAATCACATTAAAGCAATCTACTTGCTAATATTCCTAAGTGCTTCCTACAGGTCAGGGAATCAGTGCTGTTGGGATTCTTGAGCCTTTGGTGAGATAAAGATCGTAAGTATAAGGCTGGTGAAATCACAAACACGAGGAGGAGAAATACTCAGGATCATTTTGCCCTCTTCCTACTGACTTATTTTTATGTTTCTGTCAGTGGTCCTTAGTGCTGGTGGCACATTAATCATCTTGAGTTTTTTTTTTTTTTAAATACCCATACGAGATCAACTAAGAAAGTCTCTGGGGCATGGGACCCAAATCCTAGAATATTTTAGAAGCTATCTAAGTGTTTGTGGAGTCTACTAGGAGTGAGAAACCATGGTCTCTCACCATGCAATTATCCAGCTAATCTTTGTTTAATGAGACTAATTCATTTCACAAATGTTCTGTCTGTCTAGATTCTAGGGAGCCATAGCAAGAGGCACAGGAGCAATGCAATATATTCGTGCATTGCTTTTTTTTTTTTTTAACTTTTATTTAATGAATATAAGTTTCCAAAGTACGAATAATGGCGTGCATTGCTTTTAACAACAGGATGGAAGTGTAACCTTGAGTGGGATAGGTTTTTTTTTTATTATTTTTAAAAGAAGTTTTTTTTTTTTTTTCATTTACTTTAAAGGGAGATGGAGACATAGAGAGAGTGAGCACTATCTTCCATCCGCTGGTTCAATACCCAAATGGCCACAACAGCTGGGACTGGACCAAGCTGAAGTCAGGAGCCAGAAGCTCCCTCTGGGTGGCAATGGCCTAAGCACTTGGGCTGTCTTCTGCTGCTTTCCCAGGTACATTAGTTGAGAGCTTGATGGAAAGAGGAGCAGCAGTGACTTGAACCTGGGTCCATATGAAATGCTGGTGGCAGCTTAACCTGCTGCACCACAACACCGGCCTCCAATGGGACAGGATTCTTAAGCAAGGCTGATGAAGCTCAGAGAGTGGACAGCTGCAGGAGGGTTCTGCAGGGATCCTAGCAACCAGGCAGTGAGGCTGTCATTCTTAAAGGCCTCTGAGCAGGCAGCTTTTAGAGCCTCCTCTAAATAAAGTCCATGCCTTGCATCCCTCAAACCCGTGACTATAATGGCTCGATGTGGGTCTTGGAGAATTCTGACAGGTCTTCATTCCTGGGGGAAGGGTGGTGAGAGTACTGTAAAAATAAAGGTACAGGACCTGCACTGGGGCGTGGTAAGCTAAGCCTCCACCTGTGCTGCTGGCATCCTAATGGGCTCTGGTTCATGTCCTGGCTGCTCCTCTTCCAACCCAGCTTTCTCTTTATGGCCTGGGAAAGCAGTGGAAGATGGCCCAAGTGCTTGGGCCCCTGCACTCATGTGGGAGACCCAGAAGAAGCTCCTGGCTTTGGATTGACCCCACTTCAGCTGTTGTGGCCATATAAGGAGAAAACCAGCAAATGGAAAACCTTTCTCTCTGTCTCT